TTTTTAAACCGCATATGGGAAACCTGGCTCAGGTGGAAAGCACAGACAGAAAGCCTAGGGTAGAGAGCTTTTCGACATCTGTAAATGCATTATCCCAAAGAATTTGAAGGCCAGGTACATTAACACCGAGATCCCATAACAGCACATCTGGAACTCAATCATTCCTCAGTAGCAGAAAATCAAGCTAATAAAACCTAAATATTGCTCTTTGACTTTAAATATCATCCAGTGGCTAAAAGCAGATCATAGGAGCTTGCTGATGAGCTCATTTCCACATCAAGGCAGGATACTGGACAGCGGGGGTGGCTTTTCCCATCACCATCACTTCTTCCTTCTGGATGGTGTCAGAGTCCCTCTGGCCATGGCAACTGGGCAAGAAGAATATCTACCTTGTATTCCCAGGAAGGCTGGAGTCAATCTATACCACCAGCCCTGCTAGAGCACTGGTGATGGTGTGCAGATCTTCTAACAGACACATAGACGCTGAGAATGGACTTTAGGTGTTAGCAGTATTATGCGAGGGCTTTATGGAGGCCAGTGGTGCCTAAAGACTTAGTCTTTCAGGATCAATTAGTCAAGCTAACTAGAGCACCTGAATAAATATCTACAGCATCTGAATAAATAACAGATGGGCACATGTACTGGTGATTTTGTTGTGGAAAGGTGCTGGTGAATTTGTGATCCACGGCCCTGGAGAACTGCTGAAACAGAGACAGCTTTTGTGGAACTTGTTGGAGAGCACATGGGAGCTGACTTGGTACGTTTGCGGGTAAAAGTACTGGGAAGGGATTAGGCAAGGAAAAATCGGGTATAAAACAAGCACAAGGAAAAAACAAACTAATCCGGGCTACTTTCCTCCTTCTCCCGTTTTGTGAAACTGAATGCTTGATCTCCTGACGTCTTCTGTGCTCCGCTGTATGGCACAGGCTGGCAGAAAGCTTCTGTTTCCCTGGTCACCCTGTTAATAAGCATTGATGAGAAAGGAAAGGGGAGTGAAGTTATAACAACTTAATGAGGCTTCTGCAACACGGTTTGCTGGCATGTGGAAGTGCCTCTTGCAGAGTCTTGGGCCGCATGCTCAGCATCTGCCAGTAAGCAACTGAGGCCAATGTTCGAAACAGAGGCTGGAGCTCAGAGACAGGCCATCCATCAACACCTCTGGTCACTGGGAGCCACCAAGCTGCACTGTTACTGTGCTGATGAAACTACAGAAGGAGCGAATGGAGGAAGACACAGGGTCTTATATCAGATAAGGAAATTATCTATATCAGCTTCTATACTGGTTTAGGAGAAAAAGGAGGAAAGAAGTTTCCAGTGGTAGTTTGCTTTGAATGAGAGTCTGATGATTAAAGAACACTGTTACTGCACAGGCTGGGTGGAAGCTCTGCAAAGTCCAGAGAACATGCCCCAGCACAACTTATCTCCCATCGCATTTTGATTTCGACTTTAATTTGCTCATATAGGCAAGCCCAAGAAATTCAGTGGGTTACTCCAATTATGATCCTTGGATACTTTAGGTGAATATTTATTCCAGCCTACAAAAATGTACCAGTTCAAGGGTAAGACTGACTTGCCCTTTGCCATGGTAACTGAGAAGAGGGAAAACTGAAGCAGTGTATTTTCCCATACAAAGCGTATTACTCATTGTGAGAAAACAGCAATTTGTCAGGCTGCTTCATTCAGTCATAGGCTAGGCTCAACAGGCCAAATTTTGCACATAGTTGCCTCCCAAGAGGAGCAAAATGTATGGCTTGGAGCTGTTGTTAAAGAGCTCAGTCATTTCATGTGTTTTAGGTGAAAGAGTAATGAATGAAAGTTTAGGCAACAAGAAAACACAGAAATTTATCCAACAGTTTCAGAAAGGGCTTTTCTTTCTAAAATTGCCCAGAAGTCACAGTTTATTTCAAAGTACTGTAAGTGCTAACTCTGAAGCCTCTGATGCACTCCTCGTTTCATTAGAGGTGGCTGTTATGAGACCAGGAGCCCCTTCTGCTGACTGTAGGGGTCTCCAGCTATAGAAAGTTGACATCTGTTTGATATTATTATTCTATTAGAAGAGTAAATCTTCACTCCCCTGACTTTCTTGTGGGCTCTACCACATTCCACTTCAGTGACAAATGACAAATGTCCCTTGAGCCAGCAATGATTTGACAGGGTGGAAGGTACTCCTACAGAAGAACTGACAAATGGTTTCCATGAGAAGTTGAAGTGCCTTCAGGAAGTGGATAGAATTTCTGCATGAACATCAAGCTGAAAAGGAAACCCTCAAATTGCAAGAGATTTGTGGCAACCCAAAAAGTTCCTCCCCAAATAACTGAATTTGCATGTGACATTATAGACTTGCATAAGAAATCACAGAAGACTGAAGATCAGTGCGTTCTCACAGGTTTCCTCACATGTGGAACCAGGCTACAATAAAGCAGCATGTTCTTGACCTTCTGAACAATTTCTGCTTCCTTTTGTAACAGAAGTTAGAGCTCCTACTGGGTTGCATCCAGTCATTCCAGTGGAAATCTGAGACCAAATGAATCTGTTTCATATAAGTTTGCCAAACCCAGGCTGATAGCAGGATTATTCACCAGCCCAGAGCTCACAGAGGATCACACTCCAACAACTCTTTAAAGTATGCTGGTGGTGAGGATGGTATAATATACGGTAATAGCTCCTTTCCCTCAAGGATCTCCAAATACTTTACAGATGTGAATGGAGAAGTGCAAAGTGGAATTTCCCAGTCCCACGTTGCAGGGAACTTTCTGTGGGCTTACTATGTTCAAGCAATTCATGTTGGCTTAGAGAAATAGAAAAGCTGGGACAGGGGCCCCAGGAACTTGATTCCCACCACTTGGATGAAAGCATTAAACATGACATCACCTCCTCACAAGATAAGAGTTCATTGTTTTGTGGCTGAGTGTCTTCTCCCTTTAATGTGGAGATTAGCTCATATAAACTAAACACAGGAAAGTAACAGCCAATCCCCTCCTCTGCAGCAGCGAGCACAGATAAGGCAAATTGTCTTTCTGGCCCTGTCACTGGCATCACGGGAGTAGTGTGTACATTTACCACCACAAGCATAAATCTCAGAGCCAAATTCATGATGGTCCATCAATGAGACCATCATGTGGGTTCTCACTCCATTGTTCCCATTCTATCATCAACACCAACACTGCAATACCCCTGTGGTCTCCTGGCCAGAAGGAAGTGGGACAGTTTCCTTGAAGGATTAATTAGTGACTACAATAAAAACAAAGAAAAACCCCACAAATCATCCCTGACAACTCTTAAACCCTGACAACCTTTTTCTACTTGTAGAGCCTCTTGTGATTTCCTAGTTGTGTTTTACCACTTTTCTAGCCTCCAAGAATTTCTTCCCCCTAGATAACCCACAAGTTTGTAACATAATACTACACTGCAATCAACTGACATTTCAGTCAAGTTTCTTGCCAAATATAAAGAAGGACAAACCAGAGCACAAACACAAAATTCTCTTCTCTGCAGTCATCCTTAGGGATTTTTAATCCAAAAGGCTATTGTGTTCCTGTTCACAGATACAGGAGCTATAGCACTGACTGACACAGTAAGTGGGCAACTGCAGCTGGGAGGGTTGATGTACTGGCAGGCCATCATACGGGCCATGTCTACACCATGCTGCTGAACAGCAAAGGAGAGTCTCCTGTCCTAACAGCAGCATTGCACGTTCACAGGTTGCAGCACAACGCTGCACAGAGCTACCATCAACAGATGCTGAAATTCTCCATGATGCACTCATCCCTCTCAAAATTTGGTTCGTCAGCTGTGAATGAACGGTCCTCAGCAGTTCAGCCCCTACTTCCTACCTCCCTCCACCCACAGCCAGCTGGGCAGTCAGACTGTACGTAAGGATATGCTTCTCAGTGGACGGGTAGGTGTTGTCATTAGACGCTGGACATGATGCCTCCTACCTCAAGGGAGACAGGATGAACTGAGTGCTGATGACACACGTACCACCCGCTCCCTTCCAGTTATGCAAGAACACACACACACACAGAGCTGGCTGGATACACAGAAAGAGGGAAGATCAAACAGCTCCTTCAGCTGTGAAGAAAAGACCCTACAACATACCGACCAGCAGCAGCCTATTAATCAGGCACAGACTGCAACTCTCTGCCACTCCTTATCAATATCATCTGCTCCTTTAGAAAAGGCAGAAAAAGCTGCTTAGGAGCTTGGGGCTTTCCAAATATTATTATTTTTTTCCTTAACAGTTGTTCTCACGTTCCTTCTTATAGTAACCTCTCCACATACTCATGAAGATTTTAATAGATTATCTTTTTTTCAGAAAGAGGAACTCAATGCAGTGCAAGAGATGCACATGCAGCACTGAGGTTGTGGTTCTGCTCTTCCCATGTCAAACTCCCTGCTACATCAGAGACTCTCTATCCCAGCTAGTCAGTAAGAATGGAAACAGCACTCTCTCTGTCCCACCATCAAAAAGACAGTGCTTATAATCCTGGCCTGCTCTCTCTGCAGACTTGAATGCCAGCAGGGAAGCTCCTATTTTTAACAAAGTGATAGACAGGCAGTCTGCAGACCCACACAGACATCACTGTGTGGAGTGACTGCTGTTTCCAGTTAGATGATTTCCTTCACAATGGTGAAAGCTAGAAACTTCCTTTACAAAATGTAAACAAACCAAAGTTTAGATTCTCCCTAAGCTGAATGAGGCTCATAAACGCACGATGGAGGCCAGATATAGCCCACAGGGCATATGTTTGACACCTCTGGCCTATATGGACAGGAAATGGTTATAAATAGTCAGTCCCATTTCAGTTCTCTGAAGACAAATATTTTTGACACTGAGTGCTCAAGCACAAAGAGTTGTTTGTAGACCACCCAGGAGACTTGCATTTAAATGACCTTTCTCTGCTAGGATGATCAATTATACTAATGCTTATTTCACGAGTTGCAACATTTGTTCTTAAATGGAAGCAGCCCAGAGGAGCCATGTATATAATCCCACTTACTTGTCGGTAACTGCCTGCATAAACTCGTCAATCAGTTCGTCGTACTGTTTCCCACGAACCCTCTTGTGTTTCAGTCCAATATAAAGTGGATCACTCAGGAGAGCCTAGGACACAAAGCAATTCTGTTGACATCTTCTCTTCCATGGACAGATGGAAATTTATGTCCCAGCCTACCCAAAAAGTTTGTTCGTTGTGGTCATATGAATTTTACTTACTATGCAGTGAAGGCCAGCCCACACAGCTCTTCCTGAGCTGAAAGTGTTTCCGTAAGAAGTCAGATTGTGCTATGGACTATCTTTTGGTGTAAATAAAGTCAGAGGGATGTAATGCTTCTTGTCTGCTGTAGGAAATGGAGCTCTGCATCCTCAGAACAGCTCTACCAAAAGCTCCCTTTCAAAGCGCCTTACTCCTAGTGAATAAAACTGACCTTGTGTGGGGAGTGTTTACTATTCATTCAGTTCTTAATTTTGCACTGAAGGTTACCAGGAAAGCTGTTGACCATAAACAGTGCTTTCAGCAATGAAGATAGCCTGAAGTAACTTGAAATGACATGTGTCATACAGGCCTCCAGGTGACAGCCCTGCGTTGACCAGAACCAGTGATCAGATGCCAAAATGTTCCCCAGCCCTGCACCTGCCTAGCACTTACCTCCAGCCATCTGCAGGTGTCAAGGCAGGGTATTTTCATACAAAAGATTAGTTTATTTTTTGGCTCCTGCTGGGAGCATAAAACCAGGCCATTCCTCCAACCAGTCCAGCAGGTGTTAAATCAGGATCCCTACGCCACCTAAAAAGGACTGGGTCAGCATGGAAATAGCACATATTTTGGGGAAAATTACAAGACAAACAGTGGCAGGAGACAAGTGGGCCAACATCTCCGTGAGTCACTGCAAAGCAACTCTACTTCCCTTCCAATTTCAGGAACTGAATCATCCACATGAGAAGGGGACGAGCCATCTCAATTCTATTGTCCCGCAGCCATATGTGCCCTAAATATTGGCAGGTATGCTAAAATCAGATCTGTTTTTACAGCCACAGCTGTTTTCCCTTAGAAGGAAAGACGAAAGAGGTTTTAATCTGGGTTTGATACATTAACTCTTCAGGGCCCTGAAAGAATTTATCTTTTTTTGTTTTTCTGTTTAGAAAGCCAACCCATTTGCATTACTTCACTGATTGCTCCCATAGCGCCACGTGCTCTGGGGCTGCTTCATGGAGTATAAAATTGTCCCACGGGCAAGCTGAGAAACGCCAAGCTCTGAAAAAAGACCGATTTGCTGAAAACACAAAGTATTATGGACTGTCAGAAAGACAAGCTGGGAACTGATGCTAAAAATATAATGCAACTGCTATATTTACTCCATTCTACCTGAGGTTCCTGTGTTAGCAACACAGTCACCCCAGGCTTATCATATATTAATAGGCAGAGATGAACAGGATGAATGCCTGTAAGAAGTGTCTTGTTTCTGCACTGATAAATGAATTTACTCGTGGGGCAGGATGCTCCTAGGACATGCTTAGGGTTTGGTTAAGCTGGGTTTATGCACATGCAAAAGACATTAAATAAATAAACAAATTATTTATATTGTGAGGAAATATATTGCTCATATTGCTGGAAAACTGCAACTTCTATATCTTAATCCCAAATGTTTGGAATTTGCCTCCACAGAGAAGTTCCTGGACACATAAATTACACTTGATCTTGGGCAGAACAAAAGTGCCCAAGGCTGACTCTGGGAGTCCCTTTTTCTGACACCATCTTACCCTTGGAGATGCCTAAAAATCACTGGTGCCACTTTGGATTTTAGTGTCCCCTGGATACTGAGATAGAAACAGATGGTCATGCACGGTCAGAAGCTTCCCATGGGAAGGGAAGCACTTACACCCAGGTCCCTCTGAAGGGAAACTCCATCTGGGTGGCTCAGAGCATGCTAGCACTCAGTGGTGTACAGACCAGCATGGAGGAGAAGGAAGAGATGAAGGAGCCAAAGTCAAGTCAATACTCTATTGACTGGAAACTCCAAGAAGTGAGACATTGACACTTAATTCCTGGTTTAGCCTCAGAGGGTCCAAACTCAAGAGTTACCACTTTTCAGGAAAGATCGTGGATCAGGCTGAGATGAGCACACCCTATATTCTACCAGTCCATGACAGGCCTTTGTGTTAAAGGGATAAAATAATCCTGGGATCAGAGATCAAAGAGGTAACTGGGAATCTCATGTTGGATGTCATCTATGGCCACTGATTTTCCTTTCTTTCATTCTTTTCAAGTGTCCAGTGTGAGACACTTGGGGATGGAGTGAAAGAGGTGCAGAAAATCTAGCTTTCCAGTGAGTACAGGCATGGCCAAAAATGTTGGTACTCATCTGTCTTCATACACAAACTCAAAGCTCTTATACCCCAGATTTGTTATTTCTCACAAGAAACGTGTGTTTGGTTTACTCAGGGTCAAGTGAGGCACAAGTACATTTTACAAAAACGGACAGATCAGGGCCATCACAAAAAACTACTGGATATTCATTTTAAAAAAGACATCCTCGCAGATGTCCATTCTGGCATGGCTAAAATGTTGCACTTCGGCCCGTCTGAGCCAGAGTCATAAAGCAAAAATCTCCAAACAGATGGGAGTCCTCTTGTCTGGTTATCATGTGCAGTGAAGTGTGCAATCTGACAAAACACTGAAATTAATCATTCCCAAACTGCCCACCAGGGATTCTCCATTTTCTGGAATACAGTCACCTCTACGCACACACACGTATCTGTCTGTTTTCTCACAATTACCAGAGGAAGAATAAATCTGGGACTTCCTGTACAAATTCTTTCAACTCACCTTGCCATGCTGAAAGGTGGAGCTGACCCTTCAGCTCCAACTGGCAACACTCTGAGTCTTCTCATCAGGGGACCATGGGGCTATTTAGTGTTTATTATGTTCTGTTTATTTCAGTTCCCCATAAGAGCAAGTTTCTTGAGCATCAAGCAGGAATGAAACCTGTCCACATTCCTGCAGTGCTGGTCTAGCTATTGTCTCATCTTGGATGTATCTGGCTTTGCCTCCACATTTAGGGAACTGGATCAGATAAGCATTAATCTCAATCCCTTTTCCCCTCTGACAGATTTATGAAAAAATGTAAGTCTTACCTCGTTGTCTGTGCCAACATCCAGCAGGACAGGGAGACACTGTTGTGGGTGAACTCCACCACAAGCTGTGTACAATGCAAGCTTCCCCACTGGGATACCCATGCCGTAACTTCCTAGATCTCCTAAACCAAGAATCCTCTCTCCATCTGTCACCACGATAGCCTAGGAGGGTCAAAAGAGACTGTTGTATGGTGTTGCCAAGGCTCTAGAAGCAAAAGCAGCTCCACTGTCTTCACAGCGATGCCATTTTGCAGTTGCATTGTGCTATGGATATTTGCTCCTTCTAAATGACACCACGTTAATTAGCTGTTAGTGATAAAGGGCTGTTCATTTTTGGGGGAAGAGATAGTGTGGCTGATGGGTAGCTGCTCAGTGTGGGAGCAGCTCTGCTTGCCAGCACTTAAATTCACTTGTAGAAGAGCTCAACCACCATGGCTCTTTGTGCATCCCCAGCTGTATAACCAGAAGCTGCACAAAAGAGATCTGGCCTTGATTTTTGCTTTCCCTTTTTTCTGGAAAAAAGAGCTCCGTAAAAAAGTGCTCGTGCTTATGAACTGCATCTGTGAAAGTAACAAGTTCATGTCTCCACACTGTTGCAGAGTAGCTGTGGAGTAGTCAGCATCAGGCCATCAAAAAAAACTCATTATAACTGGGTCCTTTTGCTTCTGGTGCCCCTGACTGCAAGGCAGGTAGACAGAAGCCATCAGCAGGGGCAGCAGCATGGACTGCGGAGGGGCTCTCACTCTATGTGTTCAATATTAGACCATTCCTCCCCCAGCAGGAGTTAAACAATTGCCATTTAACTCTTTGTGCAATTGGTCTTTTGCATTTCAGCAATACAGTAATGTGCTACCTCACTGAAATCTCTGATCCATAATTTTCTGTTTTTCTTGTTACTGTATCATTTTTCAACTGGTTTATCAGACTGCAGGGGACTCAAGTGCACAGTCTAGCTTGGGTTTCAAAGGAGAAGACTGCAGAGAAGTTCTTTATTTGCTGATCTGCAAAGTTAAGGCTAAACTTAGGACATAAGCACGCATGTGCTTTAGTGAGAAGTAAGAGAATGGGGGATTAGAAGCTACCTCAATAGATGTACTTCCTTGGAGGGGGGATATAATAAAGATGCATTGGTTTATTGCTGTGATGGAGAAGCATTTCCTTGTTTAGGAATGGAATCACAGCATCACAGAATCTTGATGTTGATCCACAGAATGTTGGAAAGGACATTCAAGATCATCAAGTCC